AATGGACCTACTACTTAATACTGTAAAAAAATTAAGAATAGGTGGACATAGGGCTTCGAACTTACCAAATATTGCCTTGTATTTAATTATCCTGTCACATTATGCCTCTTAAACGTTTTGCGATTTATTATCTTGAGCGGAATGTTTTTACCGGCTCGTCGGTCGGTGTATGGTCTAATGTATGGCTTATAATCAACGGGTCGTTGTTGGACTTTGTCTGGATATAAAATAGGTGGTAGTATCGAAATACCGTCCGCGTCGTGAACCACCGTCCACAGATGAAAACCCCGTGAAGTTAAATCGCGTTTCGGTTGAAGCTTTTGGATTTCCGAATAAGCAAAGCCAAACTAGACCGACAGCGCATTTTGCTTGGATGCTATAGGGTGGGGTATCATTAAAAAGAAATGCTGTAGGTTGAAGCTTTGGATCCCCTTCTATAAATACTTCTTTAATAGCATTACAATCAATACTACAACCTAAATAGCCACGGTCTATAGACAAATAGCATTAAGACGATTGTAGCGTGAAACACATTTATCATTCATCAAACGTAATTATATCAATTAGTTACGACCTCCGATCACGACGGGATTAATGGAACAGAATAAGCACGGTGGAAAGGTCTTATCAATATTTCAATTATTATTGTTCTCTAATCTTCCATTATGTTAGTTTTGTTCTAAGTATCTGTACAGCTTGGAATTACTTGCAACATCTTAATACAAAACATTTACGCCTCGGGCAGGACTTGAACCAACTGAGCTATTGAGTCAAATTGTTAGAGCATCAGCACGGAGCGCTGTGGATGCCGGTTCAAGTCCTGCCCGAGTCGTACATTTTCTCAATTTACTACAGTACCATCATGTGGATTAACATGCGAAAAATATTCGAGTTTTTAAATATTATTTGCACATAAAATAACTTACGAATACATTGAATTTTGGCTAACAACGCATCTGCTTCAGATGTTATATGGCTGGGGTATTTCTCCTTCTACCAAGTGAGACTCATTCTTGTTTGTTCTCTTCTATCATAACAGAGAATTTAACGCTCTACCAATAAAGCTACCGTCCCACACGATATCGTCAAATTTGTTCATTCTTCAATTGGTATTTCAAACTCATGATATAAAAAGTCTTTTTAACTTTTAGTCTTTTCTCTTGGATCGCACAAATAATTTCATAAGAAATTAGCGAAGATGATGACAATTTTTAGACTGTTTAAGTGAAACACTTTAACGGTTTAAAACGCGATATATATTAGTTAGACTTATTTGAAAATTTCTTTTAACTTCGGCCCGACGTTTCGGATGCTTTGCAACAGCCGTGGTCACGGGTAGGCTCCCCTTAAATTTTACAAAATAATTTTCAAATAAGTTAAGTAGTAAGTAACTAATATATACCGTGTTTTATTTAAATGTGTACCACTCGCGTAAACAGACGGTATTTAATTTTTACACTGCTTTGTCATAAATATGTATGTTTAAAACACCTGCATCAAACCAACTAAACAGGCATCATGAATGGAATTATATAAAAAAACGGAATCACACCGGTCTAACCGCTACCTGTCGCACGAGAAATGATAGATAGAAAAACAACTTATAAAATGCCTTCATTCATGGTATCGTCAGCTAATAAATCTTCCCACAGGACTTGGAAAGGAGATTTAAAGTATGTTAGTACGAGTATTTTTTATTCTAGCAAGATGAGGTCGCTACTGTGACAAAAACATACTTCTTTTTGTTATAGACCGCCTTCACAGGTCAATGCAATGATGAACGCGTTGTGCATGTAGCATGGGAGGTCCTGGGTTCTAATCTTAGGGAAACAATAAATTGTTTCAGTCTAATAGCAACTACTTGCCTGTCAAAAAATCAATCAATGAAATGGACACAGAAAAGTGTTCGCTCCATATCCGGTAACGGAACTTTAACTTTGATTTGCAATGCTATTTAAATACAACGCTCTTAACGGTTTAAAACGCGAACCGTATTAGTTACTTATTCACTAATTATTTTACCTACGGCCCAACGCAACGTTTTAATAAGTCTAACTAATAGATTTCGCGTTTTGAACAGTTAAAGTGTTTCATTTAAATGGACTAGTGCTAGTAAAAACGGAAAATCAGAGTAACTAACGAAAGGTTTGATGAGCTAAAGTATAATTTAGATGCCCACGTGGAGAATTCTTCTAATATGCAATTGAACTTTTATATTTAATATCTGGAGGTCAAAAAAAGAAGGCCACTATTAAAGGTCAAAATAAGATAAGTAACTACTAATAACTTTTATGATGCTTAATCACAGTATGAGTATATTAATAAATCATACGAAATAATGTTACCATTTAGTAGTGAGCGGGCAATTTCTTTAGACTTTGATTTTAGAGCCGATTATCTTAATTAATAGACTCGGGAAAAGATAAAAGCTCTCGTAAACGGTATTTTCTCTGATTAACGAGAATAGAACGCGTTTAGATTTTTTATACGTTCTCTCATATAAAAAACACATAAAACCCTTAATCGAAGGCGAGTGAGATTATAACGACCGCGTTTCGTTGTTTTCGTAATAGAATTCAATCCAGTTATGATAGTGATCGCAACGGCTACTAGAACACGGTAGCCCCTAGTTTCGTATCTGATTCACGGAAGCGTCAGATTTGTCTTTCATTATAATGAACACTTTTTACGAGACGAAATAAACTCGGGAGATTGGCGCGACAATAAAAACGCTCTGACGGTTCGAATTAGGTTTTTAATAATACCTTTTTTTCGTACAGGTACGAATCTAACGTTTCAGTTATAATATTCTTAAATATTAATTTAAATTTACTGTATAAATCTTAACCATTAGGTTAAGATTAAAATTATTAGCTTCGCTCATTTTGCATCGCTTTGGGCAGTCAAACTTATTAGCTGTTAGTTTCAGAACTGTGTCACTGTTACACAATTGCCGAACAAGTAGGCACCAAAATAATACTATTAAAAAAAGCCACGGTTGTTATAAAGCATCCGAAACGTCGGGCCGTAGTTGAAAAAATCTCTACTTAGTATAAAGCTGAATGGCTTGTTTGTCTCAAGTACCTACTACTGGTTGAAATATAATAAAAAAAATTCTTTGTTGCTTAGAACATTTATCGAAGAAGTCTTTAGGTTATAAACCATTAGGCTACCAATAGGAGCGAAGAAACAGTAGGAAATTGGGGAAAAGTTTTTTTTTAACCGTTTAGGATACTCAAAAATGATGAATAAAAGAACGATTCTTGAAATTATCTAAAGAACATAGAGGGTTTGAATTTTTTTTTCAAAATAAGTCTTCTACTCGGACTAAGTAAGTTAAGTAGTACGATTCGCGCTATAAACCGTAAAAATTTCAATTTGTACTACTCATACCACATTCTTTCAAATTTGGTACTTCATAGCACAAAGAAAGCCTTATATAAAAAAGCGACGTTTTAAATCAGTATTCAACCTCTTTCCTGCGTTCATCCCGACCCCAAAACATCACAAGTTGATAGCGACAAAGTCGACATCAAACAAGCTGACTGACACGACTGTCACGTGTAACAAAGTGTGTCTGTTTAATTATTTGCACCTGGCTTTACGCAAGGCCGAGCAAGTTCTTCGCATAGTCGAGTGACAAATGAAATAGTCTACTTACCTGCGTATAAAGCGATGACAAAAATGGTCTCGATAAAAAGTTGTTTTAATTCATACAAAAGACACATTCTTTGCTGAGTTATTAATGTCGTACTTGAATAGTGCAGTTGGTATAGGCCATTCTGAGATACAGTTTGTAAACTTTATTATTTTTCACATGTCATTGCGAATGACAGAATTATATAGGCAAATACTATATAGATTACATGCGCGAGAGTTGAGGTAAAGAAATTAGATTTCGACGTGTAGGAACCGATAGCTCATTTAGTAACCTGCTGTGTCTGTTAATTTGATAAATTATTGTTTAATTGTTTTGGAAATAAGAACTAAGTAAACATTCATGTACCCACAAAAGTAATGTGTAATTTTTATATAAATAAAACGCGAAGCATATTAGTTATTTATTATTACATTATAAGTTATTTATACGATTTGGACATCGAATGTAGTCTTGAACAAAGTCAAAGCCTGCGAAAGATTTATTTTCAAATACAATTTAAGGTGAACGTTGAACTTACGATACATCAAAGATAGAAAAGGCTATATTTAAAGAGCCTAGTTGACACGAAAGCTTAGTACCAAAGCGTGAGTGTGTAACGTAAGCAATAGGCGACAATAACTAATGGCTGGTCAAACATGACAAGTGGTCAATATTGACAGCCGATCATCGGCTCCAGGAAATCTCTTGTAGTATTTCACACGTAGGTATCGACAATGAGAAGAAAGGTTGTGACACGGCCCTCGTTGGAAGGTGACATTTTATTCCAATTAGCTTCAGGGTTCAAGGAATGTATAATCTTTATGTCACCGCCAGGGAGCGTTATTTTACCTGCTATTTTTTGTTATTTAACATCAATGGTGTAATTAAGTGTGGGTGTAAAGATAGATTATGAGAGTGTTGGAATGTTGAAAATGTTGGAAGTGTCTGCTGAACCCGATGTAGCAAAAATAATTTAAAGATTAAAGATCGAATATTTGTCAGTCAGACTTATGTGTGGCAGTTTGCCTACATTAAAAAAACGGTTTAAAACGCGAAATGTAATAGTTAAACTTATTTACAAATCGCGACGACCCTAAATTTCGGATACTTTGCAGCATCCGCGATCACGGGTCAAGTAAAGCAACGTGTATTAATAAACATTTTTATTTAATAATAAAAAGTAGAGAATTAACTTTATAAATAATGTTATTTAATTAATTGAAACTCAATTGGCCATAACATCTCTGTTTGTGTCACTGAATAAAGCTGAATAACTAGTGTTTTGGAACGATTTATGTATTACGAAGGTGTAGTTTTATACTATTCGAATACACTTAGCAAAATTAGTTTTGTTACTTACCGTAAACACGGGAAGGCCGAGCCCGACGATGTAGAGCATAACATTGGTGACTGTAGAGTCCTTGTAGGGGTGCTTAAGGGACTCATCATCGCAGAAGAAACCTCGCTCGAACGGAGAACCCCAGAGGTAGAACGCGAGGATTAAGAAGCCAACTGTAAAAAAAAATAGATTGAAACATACTCGATACTAAAAATCATAATTTTGTATTTACTAGTATTGAATTTGGCGACGCCAAGTAATAGTACAGTGATGAGTAGAACAAATTTTTAAATTTAGAATTGTGAGGGTATTCGATTTCAAATTAATAATGTTAAGTTAAGGATTTAAAAAAGAAATATATGACAAAAAGACTTGGCTCTTACGTGAGTAATGTCATAAGGAGGATATTATAATGTTTTGTACTACCGATAAATAAGTCCATAGATGAACTATTTTTATTATTTAGAAAGATGCGGTAGGTATGTAATTTAGGTACTTTAACAAATTGATATTAATTTTTTATGACGAAGGAAGTTGGAGTTCACTTGGTGGAAAGGTGTGGATTGTAATTTCTAAAGACCAGTCTTGGAAAAATTATAAATCGAGTCTTAGAAACATGTTGGTCCCAAATGGAATCGAATCTACAACCCGTTGATTGTTACCACCATGCCAATGAGCTCGACGTAAATTAAACTACTTTGTGTGTTCACGTGTTCGAGATATCTTGAACACAAACCACAAAATTGCTGAACCCATTGTTAGTACAAAACACGAAAGCCAAGTTTTGTTTTTTGAGAGTTTGGTCTAAAAAAACTTGTTAATGTTTCACAAACCTATTAAAACAGATCGGTTATAAATCCCGAAACCCCTAAAACACAGCTATTAAAACGAAACGGGGAATGTAAATTGAGAAGCGATCCCGTTTTGAGCCGAATCAACTATTGTTTCAGAGCATCGTTTCGTCTCCAAACACTCTACGGCTGACAAAAAACAGCAGGTACTGATTTTATTGACATAGAGATAATTGAAGGGTCACATTTACTTTTTCAGTTGGCGTTTAAGAGGTGCTTATTTGATTGTGTTTATAATGGCCATAAAATGTCATAAAATACGACTTTGTCAAAAGGTATTTATTAACTATATATATTTTGTTTGATAGAGACAACTGCTAAGTTTAGTACCAATATTCAGATATACATCTTTAGTTCCGTATCCAAAGGAGAAGTTAGACTTATTATAATTAGATTTCCTACTTTTGTTTGCAACTAGGAACATATCTAGGTTGTCTTGTTCAAACCTATTGTTGTTAATACAGTCATTGGATAATACGAAAAACCTGGAGCAGGACACGGTGTTGGCAAACTTAATTTAATAATTCCTCCAGAGTTGAAAAACAATAAAATCTATTTGAATTAAAAAAATGTTGGTAAAACCGCTATCTAAGTAATGTATATTTTTTCTAAATAGATTTCTAATTTACTTGCCATAATCTGCAATAACTTGTGAATAATGTTAAAATTTTTGAAAGGGTAAATACTAAAAGTAATAGAAGGAAATGGCACTATATTACTAACATACTAGCTAACTACCATTCGAGTAGATACGATTGATATACTAAAATTAGTCTCTTTTAGGCTTTAATGATTATATTTATAAAACTCGTAGTTCACTTCCAGTAGCTTTATAGCCAGCGATCCCTTTTGTTATTAATCCGTATTCGAACTAAAACAACACACACTCCATTATGGTTCACTTTGTTAAATCTTCAAATTTTACGAGGGCTGCTAAGTGATTGACTGAAACATTCTTATTTGAGATTGTTAGTCAGTTTATATCTGGTTTTGCTAAGTCCAAAATACTATTATAGAGTTTGTTGTTGTTTCTGTTAAATAAAAGGGTAGCCCTATAATAGTGCAAGCTAAAGTGAAAATTTGAATAGTAACATTTAGAAAATATTATAATCATTGTGTTTTACTAGTGTAGCCCATTAATTTGATACCCATGTTGAGGGGATTAAGGAAGAATATGTAATCCGCCATTTTGTATCGGCGACCATCTTGGATTTATATATATAATGTTATTGATATTATTATATTGTATTGTCAAGCTAAATAAAACTGTTTAAAAATAGTACTTTTAGATGTGATAGAATTTTCATGTATTGCGCTATCATACACAAACATTATAATGTCTTTTGTATGTTAATTAAGGGCAGTAGAAGATATAATACCATAAGATCATAATACCTTTCTATAACCTATATGTTATTTATATTACGAGAAAGGTCTATAGCCGATTATTTGACATAGTAACAAAAAATGATAAAGATTTGGCAGAATTTAAGATTTCTGTTGTGAATATTTCGATAAGATCGATCAAGAATTCGATAATGTGATAAGAGATTTAACCTGCACAGGTTTATATATCTAATCTGTATTTGCAAAATACGAGCGAGTAATCTATACTAATATTATAAAGCTAAAGAGTTTGTTTATTTTTTTTGTTTGAAAGCGCTATAAAAAATAAGGTTGCGACTAGTAGGAGCGAATAAACAATTAGAAACGAAAAATGATTTATCCTTGAGGGTTTCTGTTGCGTGGGAAGCGAAAACGGTTCAAGATACAAAAAAAAATATGTGTAAAGGAATGATTACTCTTTAAATGATCTTAAAAATGTCTGCGATACTATGATTCTAACTTTTAAGATTAATTTGCAAGAACGGCGAAACGGCGACGAAGTCGTGGGGAACAGCTACGTAAAATTTAAAAAACTGAAGAGGCTGTTCGTGAAAATTAATGTCCATAATAACTATTCCATGTGGAAGTCCCGAGCACAGCTAGTTAATAATATCGAGCAAAAATGGTATAATGTGTGTACTGGAACCTACAAAAAATAGAATATATGAGTTTAATGTATCATTTATGGTTATATCGACGTGACAATATTTCAAGCAACAATTCACTATTTCCTAATATTACTTTTAGTTACTAAAGTAATTGTTCCTACATGCAAAAAGTGCACTCAAAACGTAACAAGAGCGTTATGAATCACTATCAGTGCTCCTAACGAATCAGGTCATCGACCTCTTACATAACGCCTCGTAACCTAATGAATTTTCTACGAATTCTTTAGTCTTACGTAATTTTAAAACTATACTTTATTACAGCAGTGGTTTTTTACTATGAATTTCATAATCTCCCTTTTCACTTCGAAAGAGACTTATGTTATGATGTTATATTGTTTTTATAACGGATTTTAATACAACATGTTATGATAATATATCTGAAAAGATCAGCTAGACTAGTGCTGCTCAGCAACAGACCTACATAAATGGGCATCTTTGGAGAAAGGCCGAGCCGGGGGGTTGTGTTATATTATAATATATAAATCAGTAATAAAATCTCAGTAACTTATTAATAATATCTATGTTTACTGTAATAACATAACCAGCAACTACTGTAAAACAAGAAATAAAAATTCGTATACTGCAGACGATCTGTAGTTTAAGCGAGTAGTACACGTTCAAATAAAAACTTTTAACGGTTTAGGACGCGAAATAAATTAGTTAACTTTATTTTAACTACGGCCGTCAAAAGTGTTTTATTTAAATGCTTGTTTTTGGTATATACTGTCTGCAGTTTAGGCGTGTAAATAGTGCATATTTCAATGAAACACTTTAACGGTTTAAAACGCTATATATTATAGTTAAACTTATTTAGAAATTATTTCAACTACCGCCCGACGTTTCGGATGGGGGAGACTGTCGCCCCATGACCACGGCTTCTGCAAAGCATCTGAAACGTCAGGCCGGTTGAATTGTTTTGTTTAAACATTATTATTATATTAACTTAAGAAAACAATTAATGTTTTATACATTACTTATTTGGAATGAAAATATCACTGAAAGTTAAGATGGCGGACCTCGAAAACGCTACAAACGGAAAGTATACACACTTAAGAGAGTCACACACGAGATGTTTAAATAACGCATTATGTTTATATACAGACTAATATAAAATGTTAGTTCTTATGTAAATATTGAGCAGATGTTACATTCAGTGTGCTACCCAAATACAATTGCTCGGCAGTTGAGTAAATATCCGTACGTTAAAGGAATTTACAAGACGCTGATAAGAGATACCGCTAAGATCCAAAACGTATACTTGAAAATATTTTATACCACAGTTCACTAAAACTCCAGTAGGGAATAAATAATCGACTTTAAACCTAATTGCAGCTCACTTTCAGTAGTATTGGGAACTGTGCGGTTCAAGTAATCGCAATTGGTGTGTCAAATCTATAGGTACATCTATAATATTTTAAACCGTTAAAAGTGTTTTGTTTAATGCGTAACATCCACTATTACGGGCAATGGCGCATGTAAACATTTTATTGCGTTCCTATAATTTAACTCAGGGCAAAATTTAATCGGTTAAGAAAATTAAATTTATATTCATATTTGTAATTTTTTTAATGGATATAAAAGATTTGATAAGATAACGCGACTGTTAGCTTAGGACTAACTGATAGATATGCCTTTCTAATTAGGAGAAATGTTATGTTTTTTATATAATCTGCTTAAATGTAATCTTGTTTAAACTTTTGCTTAAAAAACTTGAAAGACCAAAGACTTGTACACTTTTATTTTTAACTATTGATATTAGACAATCTCATACTTTGGTATAAATAAATAAGTAAGCAAAATTGTATACGTACGCAATAACGGTTCAATATACCCCAAAAAGTATGTATGAAAGAATGATACCTCTTTAATTGATCTAAAAAAATATATGTCCATCTTTTATGATTGATCTGCAAGAACGACGGGACCCGATCGATCTCGTGTGTAACAACTTAAATTTACAAAGATAAAGAGGACGTTTGCAAAAACAAATTAGAAAAGCCAAAATCACTATTCGACGCGATCGAAGTCGCTGACACAACTAGTTTAATAAAAAACAATTACTAGACCGTGATATTAGTCATTGTTAGCAACGACTTGATGTAGGCAGAGGTCTTCAACTAGTCAAAGGACTTGAACTGAAAAAGGAAAATTGAGTGCGTGATCAAAACAAAATTATGACGCAAAGGTAACCTTATATCCTGTACCTGTTTAATAAACCCACACACGCCAACTCGCTTCACGACGCCGTTAATTAGAATAAGTGACATC